AGAAATTAAATTTCAAAATGCAACAATCATAATTTTATTTTGTTTTAATTTAAAATAATAATATTATCAAATTAAATTAATCTACCAACACCAACTACCCTCACCCCATTCGCCGGCACCCATCCATCGTTGACATCCCTTGACCTCCACTCAGTCAACGACTTCTTCAACAACTAAATGATCGCCGCTCAACGAAAACTGAGTTCCTAAGCGATTGGGACTGAATGGTGCTGGTATAATTTAAAATGCTTTTTTAAAATTGAAAATTGAAAAAGAACTTCAAATGTAATTTACAAAGTACTTACAAGAGCAAATAACTTGAATTCTCACTGCCAAAAATTGAATATGTGAGCAATTCGGATAACAGAGGTTGGAAAAATCAATGATATGTGACTAGATCTCTTGAATTTGCATGTGGCCTGTGCACTTTGACGTATGACTTGTGACCCGGTCCAATGGCTCGTGACTAAATCTTTTGGATTTGAAACAACAACCTGAACCAATAATCTATGACCAAATCTCTTGAATCTGTGACCGACGACCTTATTCAATGGCATGTGAGTAAATCTTTTGGGCCCGTGACCAAATCTCTTGAATCCATGAATTGTGATCTATGCACTTTGACAAGTACCCTGTTACATGTGACCTTGACTTAATCCAATGGCAGGTGAACAAATCTCTTCGATCTATGACTTGTGACCTGATCTAATAGCTTGTGACCAACTCTTTTGAACATATGACATGTGATCTATGCACTTTGACATGTGACTCGTTCACTTTGACAAGTCACATATTCAAGATATTTGATTACAGAAACTCAATGGCTATGACCTACATACCTCCACCATCATCACCTGTGGACATTGATCCACCACCAACATTCCAACGCAACCACCACTATAACACTCTACCACAACCACCACTATTGCACTACCACCATCACTACTAACAACCCAACAGCCAAGTAAATTACCAAAGCCAAAACATCACAAAAACCACCACAAAGTTGTCGCCAAACCTTCACAAAAACCACTTCCAACCACCACTTCAAGCACCTCATTACACGTCCACCAACACCACCGTTTACAACAACAGAACCACCGCCGCCTGCAATACCACCAATAGATCAGTACCGCCATTACCACTTGAACAACCACCACTATCATCACCCCCAAACCATCAAACACCACTTCCACCACCAACATTTTACAACCACTATTTTCATAACACCAACAATAAAAAAAAAACTGAAAAAAATAATCACATACCCATAAACAGCTACCCCGATTCAACACTATGAGTGACAATAGTGATCTAAACATCGATCTAGATAACTCCAGACCTACAAGCGACCACCCCGATCTGAATGCCACTGTGCACAATGACGACAGTGCAAAGAATAGGAGAGTGAGATATGTGTGTGAGAGAGAGAGAGATAGAGATAGAGAGCGCAGGTGAGAGATAGAGATAAGAAAGACTACAATTCTAGGTTCGTTAATACATGATTTATGCTCACATAAACTTAATACTTGAATTAAGAATTGTCATCTTTAAATAGTCGTTGTTGTATATTACCTCCGTCCCAATTATATAGGCTGGATTTCCTTTTTTTTCTTGTCTCAAATATATATTTATGTTTCTTAATTAAGAATGTTTTGGTTTATTCCTTCACTGATATACTCTTATTTAATTTGCCTAGTTACAATCAGTTTTCCCCACTTCATTTGCCTACTTCTTGAAATCATCCAAATACACACACATTTCCCACTTCATGGAAATATGAACAAAATAAACATTGAGACACAATTCTCATTTCTTCTTCTTTTACTTGTGATTCTTCAACTTCTTCATTTTTTTCACGAAAATATGCTTATTTGATTCTCTGACTTCTGTCTTCACACTCTAACTTTTGAAAAACACTTCGACAAAAGCACATTCACACACACTGCCACCCTAATTTCTCTGTATATGTGATTATTTGCAAATGTAAATTTCTAAAATATTTCTCTAAACCATGAGGACGAAATCTAAAAATCATCTACATTCCATCGAAGATACATGTATAGCAATTTTAAGAAACGATCTCTACTTGAAGAAAGCGATGAGGCCATTGCATGATTTAAATGCTCCGCGTCTGAAGATGGTTATATTTTCGCTTCTCAAGAGTACCAACGTGTTGTTTCTCGGATGATCANTGAAGATGGTTATATTTTCGCTTCTCAAGAGTACCAACGTGTTGTTTCTCGGATGATCAAAATCTATCTACCAAAAATCTACGGGGCCAGATTGATGCTCTTGCTGATAAAGTCGATGCTGATATCAAGAAATAGTATACCCAAATTCTACGAGGCTTGTGCTTAACCCATGTTTATAGTAATTCAATGCCAACTTATGGATGCGTTCAATGCCAAATAGGCATCTATTTTTAACAGTACATTGACTTCTGGTTTTGAGTAAGTACTTTACATCAATTTAAAACAAGTTTTTTACACACAAATGGTCTAGAGAAAAACAAATACTGCTCCCTCTTGTATATTGATTGATTAATGGGAAACTACTAACACAACCAAATGACATTCTTCAAAAATCAAAAGTCTGTTGGTTAGGTCCGTCTCGTCATTTTCTATTCGAAAAGGTATTATGGGTCCAAATAGAGGCTCGTATGCCAAATTTGCAAACTTACCTGATTGTCTTTAGTTCAATTCATGGAGGAAAGGGAATTGATCACTTTAATCTATGATTCGGGCCACATCACTAGCACAACTTGAGGGTTAAGTAGCGTATACAAGGCAAATGCTTCTGCCATTATTACAACTTCAAACTCGAACTGAATACAATTCGGTAGTTGCCCATTTCTCATCAATTTTTGTTTGTTCATATGTGGAATCCTATAATTGTTACCCCCGAATTTTCATCACCTCAATCATGCATGATTGCAATGTCAAAAACACATTGTTCAAATCTTCAGTTGGGAATTTTTCAAAAGCATTCTCCACTGCTAAAACAAAGTCTTCAATTGTAGTTGGAGCCTTTTGATGTTGAAGTGAATCAATGGCTCTAAAAAGCCAAGGTCTAAGACATTCATATCGGGACTATTCGGAGATTGACAACATAAAGGAATATCTAATCCATCATTTCTCGCTGCTTCTACGAAATTGATATCATTAACATCCAAATGTGGCTAAGAATTGTCTTGCTAAATGAAGATGATCCTAGAACTTGAACATGGCCATTTATGTTTGATTGTAGGCAGCAAATTTTCGATTACACATGATCGAATCACATCTTTAGTTACCGACACAATAGACTTTGACTCCAAAGTCCCGACTACACGATTCTTACTATTTCGCTTGGCTGATTCCTCAGACACAAATGGCCATATTCCAATTTTGCCTTTGAATTCTTCATTTGTAGTAGCATCAAATCTTGGATGAGCAACGCCAGCCAAAAACATTATCTTTGTAATAAATCTTTTACTTTTTACATGAGCGAAAGGGCTCCGTTTCATCCAGATTGAGATAATACTTTTGTGATATTTTGGACATATAAAACCACTTTTCATCAATATGAATTTGATTATGTATGCGAGGGTACCTTCAGCTACCATTGATAGACAAAATTCTAACCTTCATTTCTTGCTCTCGTTCGATAAAAATGGTTTCACCGGATTTGAATGTGGCCAAATATGCCCTTTGACCCTCCTACGTACGGTTGATTTTGACATATCCAAAGCCTTCGATAAAGATCTTATATTTGTTCGACGACGGAGAGGGATGCACTTCATTTGTTCGAAATCTATTTCGACTCTCTTTCGACATCTCCTATTCAATAGCTCAGAAGAGAAATTTGGCACATCATTATTTGCAATACTAAAATATTTTCCTTCATGCCAAATTCTAGAAACTGATCTAGCAGATATAAAAAAATAGTTGGAAACTTTCGAAATGACTCATTTTGCAAACTTTCCATCTTATCTTTCATGGAGTAGCATCTCAAAACAGCTCTTCTTTTACCACAGAAGAGGTTTTTTTTCTTGTTTGGATGATGTATATTCTTAGCCACTGTGTCAGTAGTGCATAGGGAATCAACATCTTCTGGAAATTGATTCAAATCATTTGGTTAATAGTTATCATTTGGTGAAGGTATGTTTTCATGCGAAAAATTCAAATCAATGGAAATAGTTCTTGATGTACTATTCATTTTTTTACTTGTGATTAAATCTATCTATATATCTCTATTTATATAATGTGCAATCAAAAAAATTTGAAAACATAATTGGCATTTTCAGCATAGAATTGGCGGATTTGCAAAATGGAAAATTGTTTTGATCAAAAAGTTTAAATTCTGGTTTTGATAGGTGGTGAATATTTGAATTGTGGTTTATGTGGCGGTAAGAATTAAAGTTCTGGTTGTTAGTGACGATAAGTATTAAATCGGTATAACAAAAGTTCAAAATTCTGGTTTTCGTTTAATTTGATTCAAAAGTTCAAATTATGGTTCCCAATGAATCTCATCAAAATTATTAAGAATGTGAGAATTGAAAATTAAATTATTCAAATTCTTTCCTAATTTCAACAATAATTTACTATTGGTTGTTAAAAATTAAATAAGGGTAAATAAAGAAAGTTTTTCACAAAAACTATTTTCTCAATAAATAAGATTTTTTAATCCGCGTGAAAAATAAAATCAACCTATATAAATTGGACGGAGAGCAATTTCCACTAAAGAATATGTCCTGTAACGGGTTCCAAAATGTATTTTATCGGGTGCCTTGTTGATATTTGAAAACTCGTCAATTGAAAAGCAATGGATGTTTAGAATTTAGATTGAAGAAATGTCAGCAAGTTTTTAGACAAGTTCGGAGAAAAACAGCAAGCGGAGAAGTATGAACACGGGTAACATGCTCTCGATCTTTAAAATGTTGTTTTGTGAAGGTTGAAATTATACGTTTTCTTACTGGAATTTCTTTAAAGTACTCTATGGAAACATTATTCAGTCTGGGTCGGAGAAATTCAACTGCCAAGGTTATTATGATCCATATTATTTTGAAGAAATGAAAAAACCCATTTATTTGTTCTTCCTGATTCTGCTACCATTTTGCTCTTCGATAACGAATCAAATCAAGATTGTCTCTTTAGTTGTTAATATGGTGATAGACTTCAAATTCCCTAGCTTGCAGGCTGTAACTAACCTCTGCTGCACCTGCATTCCTACAGACGGAGATACAAAAGTGTTCGATTAAATGCCTCCCAGAAGTTACTTATAATACTTCAGTTTCCCAGCACCCATTTGCTCTTGAAATATAAAGATGTGGCCTCAGCCGTTGTTGAAAGCCAGAAGGAGATTTGTTGTGTCCTTGTTCAGTTGCTGTTACCAGCATATTCTGATTCACAAGCGCACCCTTGTCAATGTAAAGCTCAAGTGGGTCAAGGACCCTGTACTGGACTCTGTAGTCTCTAGAACTATACAACTCAAAGCCACTTCTACCCTTGTGTCGATTATAGGATCGCACCCTGATTATTCTCTCCCAATCTACAGCCTCTCCAAACATCGTGGCCATCTTGGCCTACCTCAAGAACTTAAACTCTCAACTTTCCTCCGTTGTTATCCAAATATTTTCCAAGAATTCTATCTCGCGGATTCTAAAGGTACCCCAGTACCGTGGTATAAATTAACCCCCGAGGCCTTGAAGATATATGATGACGAAAAGCATTGTGTTCTAGAAGAGTGTTATGTGGATATTCTGAATAGGCTGCGAAAGTTGCTTATGCTCACTAAAGAGAGATTACTCCCTCTCCAAACTATTGACCAGTTAAGATGGGACTTGGGTTTACCATATGATTACGAGAATAAAATGGTTGCAAAGCATCCAGAGTTGTTCTCTTTTGTGGGACTCCCTGATGAGCGAATGGGAATGAAACTATTAGTTTGGGATGATAGTTTGTCAGTCTCCCATTTGGAACTGAGAAATTTGGATCTTGAGACCTCAAATCAGGCATTGGCATTTCCTATTGGATTTACGAGGGGTTTTGGGTTGAAAAAGAAGTGTATAGAGTGGTTGAATGAGTGGCAAAAGTTGCCTTATACTAATCCTTACGTTGATGCGTCTCATTTGGATCCAAGGACAGATGTCTCGGAGAAGAGGATTGTTGGCGTGTTTCACGAGCTTCTGCACCTCACAATTCTTAAGAAGGCCGAAAGGAAGAATGTGAGTAATCTGCGTAGTCCATTGGCATTGCCTCAAAAGTTCACAAAGGCTTTTGAAAGACATCCAGGGATTTTTTACATATCGAAAAAAGGCAACACACAGACTGTTGTCCTCAGAGAGGCATATGACCGTGATCAGCTCATTGAGAAACACCCTCTTGCCGACATTAGGGAAAAATACGGAAGCATGATGAAGAAGGGATTTTTAGATAGGAGTAGAGGACTATACAAGAGAGAGAGGAGGGAAGTTCTCAAAGATGACATGGTGAACTTAGATAGGTATGATTTTGAATCTGAAGAGGAGATGAATGGTAATTTGATTTCAGATTATGACTCAGATGAAACTGGCAGTGATTATAGATGAATTAAGCAATAGTCTTGGCATTTATGGGGTGACGCCCATGAAATGGCATCCAGTGCCCTAGTTCCTGGTTCACCTTTATGCGTGAGCTCTTCGTGTCTCAGTCCATTTCCAGCTCCACGCAGTCGGGTTTGGACCGACTCCAGTCTTCTCCTTGTTGTACAGCCTTCCCTTCTTCATGTTTCACAAACCTTATGAATTGCAAAGGTCTGATTGGAATTTTATTAGACGTATTTAATGTGTGCATACACTTGAATTCATAGTTTGTTCATTAAGTTCTAATGGATTAAAGCATTGTGCAAGAATGTAGGTGAATCCATATCTTCTTTGCCCGAGATATAGGAAATATCAGATTCATCTATATGATTGTCTAAATAATTTTCAACAATTTGGAATACCCAAAGCACTCAGCCTTCCTCAATTCACCACCCCATGCCAACTGTAAAACAGAACACCACTAATCCCCCATGGCCCCTCCCCACAATCACCTTCGCTCTCGTCTCTTACCAACCCCCACAGACAGTTTTCTGCATAATTACCATCACAACCAAACATAGAAGCCTCCATTAAGACCACAAAACCATCTTCAATACCGCAGAGATTCAATAGTGTACAATAATATTTTGATCTATGGAGTCCTCCATGGTACTCTGAATCAAACATGTACTTAAAAAGTCTTGTACCTGCCATATCTAGGATTCTATTTACAACACTCGTGAGTGAAAATAGAAATTCACAGGAGAACTCAGTCACTATCAAAATATTTAACATCTATCAAAATATTTAACATGCAACAAGTGAGCTACAATTTTGCCTTGTGTAAAAATAGCGGGTTCAACAAAATGGAACCAGCAGAACCCTAGGACAAGCACTGCACTATAAATTATTCAAATCCTCCACACTGTAATGGTAATGTTGCTTCTTCCGTCTTAACTCGAAGAATTCTTTCTTGCAGCATAAACACGATAAGCAGCTAGGCCAACAATGGCTACAGCAGCTCCAACTGTAATATAAACAGTATTAGTGACACCATATTGGACAAAGACATGGAAGTACTATCATTCATGCAGGATATGTTTTTGACAAGATGTCTTTGGAGTTCGAGGTTGAAGTAATTAAGCTTGACATTCATGAGTTATTTGCTTCCAATGGCACGGATAAGCCACATATTTTGTGAATAATACATTTTGGAATAGTAGATTGACAGAGAATATGTGGTTAAAAATGAAAGAAAAGTTTTTAGGTTGTGTGTAATATTATTTTATTGAAGAATGTGTGGTTGAAAATAAGAGAGAAAAATGTATTTAAAAAAAAATGGGGATCAAACAAGGTTTCAGTATTGTCATCCGGCAAAAAGTTTAGGGCATATTAATTTAGCATCTGAACGTTCCAAGATAAAATAAGAAGATATAAACCTTTAAACACCATATTTACAGCCTCATAGCCTTATAGAACTATCAAAACATTTTGTATGAAACAAAAAAAAAAAATATGAGCTGCACAAATTGCAGCTGCCAATGAGTTATAAGAGATTAACAGCTAATATCCAAATGGCCATAATATAATCACAGTAACCAAAATACCTGATACAAACACGAGGGAATGATTAACAAGCCTGTGATACTTCTTACGGCTTTTCCCAGTGGCAGTTTCAGGTATGCTCAAATGAGGGTGCTCGGCTGCATTTACAATCCTTTGAAATAAATTACTGAAATCTCCCAGCTTCACGCTGACAGGTATAGGAGTCTCTATTCCCATGTCCTGGCTTACCTATTAAATAGCACAGCAGAATGCTATCAACTTTGGCAAGAAGTTTAGAAGCAACAACTTGGCAAAACAGCAATTTCAACTCTGCTCTAGGAAGTTCATGGTGCATGGTCCATCATATTAGGTCTACATAAACATAAAATGTCACTGGCTAAACACTGAAGACTCCTGAATTGTGCACAATGGAAAGGAGCTGACAACCAAATCAAACAATATCACATGTTCCAAGTCCTTTGCAACCCACCCCATTAATGAGAAAACAGAGAAACTGTTTACTCAGTTTTGCTAACCTGGTGACTATGAGTTATCCTAACAGTCAGATTTCGTAAATGCAAAAACTATTTGATAAAGAGATCCTCAACTCATGCTCTCTGGGGAAGATTTATACCCGTGTCGAATCTTGAATTTCAGTCAAATAAGGATCAAGATCATCCTTATTGGCAATGATAAGGCAAGGTGCCTCATAGCCACTGGTTTCCCCTTGACTAGCAACATCCACAAGCATCTCAGTTGCTTTCTGCCATGAAGCTTCACGAGAACTGGAGAGGCAAGACCACCAATGCATGAGATTAAGAGGTCAATATACTAGGTTTTCAAAATAGGTAATCTTGGCTGTTGACAAATAGACAAAATTGTAAAACTAAATCAAAGTAATTGCCAAGATATATAAATGTGAAGGGTATAATCAACTGATAGATATGTTATGTTGACTGATTATGATACAACGTAGCACCTGATTAATTGCTTTAGTCATGAAAAAGAATGAAATCAGTCCTTTTTAGTAAAACAGAAGATCTTGACCTTTAAAAAATGAACACAAAACAACAGGGTTAATCATGTTTCCTTTATTAATATATCAGTACATCTCTCTTGATGCTTTCCTTCTATCAACCGTGATTGTGAGCATATTCTTGTTATATAACTCATGACCACTATCCTTCCACATTAACAGGGACTCTATGCAAGATATGTTAGCAGACTTTGATAGGGGGAAGTGTGGGAAGTTTCGGAGGCATTATTCTCTGTTTGCAGCACTTCATTGTATTCATTTGTTCATTTCAATTGGTCTCCCCTCAAAACATAAATGCCTAAAACCCTTGCTTGCTTGAATGGAATTTACCGAAAAAAAATTATATAAGTTGAATTCCTATAAATGTGCTAATTATACATTCATCTTTTACTATATCAGTCATTTGAGAGATCAGAGAGTGAAAGAATAAATATTGAACGTGATTTCAAGAACATAATTAATGAAAATGTCATTCAGAAAAAGAAAAATGAAAAATAAAAAATAAAATACATTAAAATTTTAGAAACACCAAAACCAAGTTATGCTAAAACATATGGTGGTAATAGTGGAGTCTCAACTACACCAAGTGGTTTTTACCAATATGACTCAAAACACTAACAATCACTTATTTTATTCTATTTAAGTCAATTGGCAAAACGGCATATCAGCTACCTGTCATGAACAAACACTGCCACATCACATGCTGCCAAAGCATCCCTGCTGGATAATATTTTTTTCACTCCTTCCTCTGGTATCTCTCGTAATACAAGAGTTTTCTTAGTTCCCTGTCAACACAAAATATAAAACCATACCTTCATTATATAAATATTTTCACACAAGGAAAATGAGTCAGAGAAACACTTGAAACATTAATTGGGATCAACGATCCTGAGACATTTTGATCAAAACAAGCATGTTGCAAGAGTTTTCTTGTGTTCCTTCGTCTGAAGTAACAAATTCCTTAACACCTCTATACATTTCGGGAAATAGCAAGAAATTAAGATAACATTTGAGTTGGATTTATTATTTTGCAGCCATCTTCGAATTAATTAGCTCCCAAAGGATTTTCAATGCTTTTCTGCAACAAAAGTTCTCTCAAATACAAGTTGATTTCTTCTCCTTTTCCTATTTCCAAATTTTTTTTACTCCCAATCCACTCTAATTTTGATGTTTTCCTCTATTACTATGTCAAATTAACTAGAAAATTTTACCTTTTTAGATTTTCTAATCTCCTAAGAAGTAATCTTGAACCAAAAATGCTAACACATTATGATGCGCAACCCAAGGTTCCATGGAAACGCTACACGACGTATGGAAGCACTATTTCTCAAAAAGGACACGAAATGCAACTAAAAATACTTCATATAAATTTACTCATTATTCAATCTTAAAAATAGCTATTTAACATTAATATAGTATTCAAAATAACACAAATCAGTTGAACTAAAACTTCAATTTGATGCGTTATACAATCTTACAAAAGTATCATATCAAATAAGCTTTCAAAATCCTGAAAAAAGTTCATTTCATGTTGTCAGATTAATTTCCTTCAGATTCATTCCCACCGTCATCTTCAATATCTGTATCTACATTAACACCAATTTCTGTATCACATCATCATCATCAAAATTTTAAAACTAAAAATTTAGCCTATGTTTGGCTCATGTTTATAAACTGTTTATAAAACACTCAAACCACTTTTTATCCACGCATTTCGAGGAATTCACAAGTACTACGAACTTAACCACCACTCATTTCTATTTATGTATAATATAAACCTTTTATAACACTTTCTCAATGATTCTCTAAGTTCAAATCCTGACTAGATTTTCATTATTGAAATAGTTTATTGCTGGTAAATCCCGGCAATGAAAATCAATTTATATCCATTTTTTAATGGAGGGGTTAAAGCCCACAATTATTTGTTATACTTGGTTGAAGCCCATAATTGAGTGACATTTCTGGTTGGACCCTTACTTTTCTTTCCTAATTAAAGCTTCCAAATTTTTGATAAAATGCCTCTTTAAGTTTCTAATTTTAATAGAAAATAAAAGGTTAATAAAGTTTCTCTAAATTTCCAAAACATTTCATAAAGTTTCCGAAGAGCTCCGGTTTCCAGAATGGAAACATTTCTCTAGGGTGAACCTATTACTATGATTATTCGCAGGTATCAATTGTTTAAACTAAATATATCTAACCCTTGAATACCACATGCGTATTTTTATGTCAGACTACATTTCCATACACATTTTGGTGAACAATAGTGGTGTGCTTATTAGGTAACATTGTTTCTAACAATTATCAAATTACCCTTTATTTTCATAATACGGTGAACATCACAATTGTGTACAAATCCATGCTCATAGTTATGCGTACGCAAGTCCACACATGCAGACCACGTTCTTGCAATTTAACTTTTTTATTTTATGAGTCTTGTCTTGCTTTATGAAACTTACCATAGGTTGATCAACTGAATTAACAGCATAGCGGTCATTGGTAGTGGGAACATATTCTTCAGGGAAAAGTCTGCAGAATGAATGACTTGTTTTAAAAGACCCAACTAACATTAAGAAACTGGAAACAAATCAAAGAAAAATCAGTTTAAAAGGTTTATCACATAAGCAACATATTTTACCTTCCAGTGAAAGAATTCAGTATTGCAGACTTCCCAGCCTCTTTTGGTCCAAAAACAAAGCAGTGGTACACAGTTCTGTCCGTTTGCTGCTTCCTACTATCTAAACGTCTTCTCCGAGTTACACGGATAGCAGTTGAGGGATCATCACCATATCCAATGTATATCAGGGTCTCCATGGTACGAATTGGATCCAGAAGTGTCATTAAGGACCACTAGAAAAAAACACATTTGTCAAAGAAACTTTACAGGCACATAAAAGATAACATACAAGATGAAGAGTAGATATGGTCCTAGGCCTATAAAATAAATTGACCAGTCAAGCTTGTCCACTTTTTCAGTTACATTAAAACATGCTAAACCAAATTTATCACAAGTATTCTAAACATCTTGCAGAGAATGTGACATCGGATGATGGAAAACAAACTGTATACTAGAAGAAAAGTCGTAGAAGAAGGGGAAAGGGGGAGAGAAGAGAGGGAGAAGACAAGAGCAGAGAAGAGGAGGAGGGGGAGGAGGAGGAAAGAGAAGAAGAGAGAGGAGAATTGGGGAGGGAGAAAATATTGCTTATTCCATTCACCAAAGTCTGCAACTCTGCACAAAAACCTACTCCAACATGCCATGTGTTGTGTTGTATACAAAAATTATAAAAGTAAAAATATAAGAATTTAAATCGATATTTTTCCAATGTGTCCGTGTCCTGCTTTTCAAAAATTTCATTTCAACGCATCCGTGTCCGCATTCGTGTTCACCTCTGCCTTTGTCCGAGTCTATCTATTATGTCCGCATCATGCAATTTCATACCCACCCAGGATGGAGTGCCAAATTGGGCAAACATCAGTAGACTAAATGTAAATTTTATCGTCTTGTTAGAAATTGTTATATGGAGTTTTCAATTTTCCATGTATGTGCATGTGCAAGTAGTTATGGATTCTGGGTATCGTGTGGAATATTTACTTGTGTTTGCAATAAAATAAGAGTATATATGGAAGTTGGGAATTGACAAGTATCTATTGTTACAACCATGAGGATGTTTTGTGTGAGAAAAGAATGTAATATCATAGGACGATTGAGCTCATAATGTACACACCAATGACAAAAAGCCATCAAGTGACAGCCCTCCCAAAGCTGTCTTCTCCACTGCGTCCTCATATGGAGCTTCATTCCAGGGGCTGAATTCCAGATAAAGAAAGTTAACATCCATAACAAGCGAGAAATAACTGTTGTAGAACATATATACAAGAAACAAAGCCCTTGCTTGGCCTCCATTTTCTAAAACTTAATTTTTTTTCCCTCAAACTCATCTTCAATCACACATTTCATTAGACCCAAAACTTTTATCAATTTTTCAAACACGCGTTTCATCAACTTTTATCAAAATCTACTAAAATTTTGATTTTTAGTTAAATCAAACAGGGGCAAAATGACACAATTCAGCTAACTTCAAAATTAATTGGATGGATAATTTTTTATACAAAACTGACCTTCTTATACTATTTTAGACTTGCTACCTTCTGAACTTCATAATTTTTTAGTTGTGCAGACTAAATTCAGTTTAAAGCAATTTCATAAGAAAATAATGGGGAATATTGCTTCCATGCCCAAATTTTTTTTACAAGGATTTGAATTACTCATATTTGAAAGCCTTTTCTATAGAACAGATTCAGAAAGAATCCAACTCACTACAGATAATCTTGCAAGATCATTCTCAAAGTTTTCCATATTTTCATTTAAATAACCTTATGATTTATATTGAATAAATATCTCCGCTTTGCTCCTTGTATTGATTCTCAATTTCACTTCTCTATTATTTTTGCGCTTAAAATCAATCACTATGATATTCAATTCATGCCTGTAGGATTAAGATCATTCCGGCATCGGCCATTTTGATCCAGTAAACTTGTGTTCCATTCTATATGAGTCACATATACAACACATAGCCACTCAAAAATAACAATGTGAGATACTCCTGATTTTCCGACACTCCCCTACTCTGTACAATATTGTCTTTTCTTTAATCATCTATTGGGATGCTACAATATTATCAATAAAAGTTGCCCTTTTTGATATAACACTAAAAAAAAAAATTCATATTGAAAGAGCAAATGATTGATTTGGCTGTAAAGCAAGAAAGTAGCACACAAAAACCCAGAACAAGTTAAAATTTTTAAATACACCGTTCCAAAATTTTGCATAGCTTTCAGTAGTAACCCACAATTCACAATCGGGCTCATTATAAAGAATAAGCTTTTATTTTTTTTTCCAGAAGCTCATAACACCTATCATGTGACTGTTTACCAGGTTGAAATTTATTATATGTGCCAAAAAACACCTGAAGAACTGAAAGGAAAAGGAGGGATCTTTGTGTGCTGAAGCAAAAATAGAGTGCAAGAATGTAATAGAAAAATATTTACTCTTCAGGAGCAGTGGAAAACATGTAGATTTCTTAAAAAGAGGAAATGAAGATCATAAGGATATTAAAGAAGAATACATTACTTTTCTGGCGCAGTAGAAAACAAATCCTCAAGCTCAGCGGAACGAAGAGCTCCATCCTGAAAAAATCAACATCTGACATTGTGAACTAAAATTAAATAGCAGGAGCACCAGGTCTCATTGATAAGAAAATAATAGAAACTAAAACATGGGAACGTACAAATCACTTAAAATTATTGAATCCTAAATCCTACCATGATAATGCATACCAAAATGCTTCCCCAGATATAGTTAGAAAGTAGATTTACAACATATGTGAAGCAAGCTCTTTTGAATGAACACCAGCTGAAACCATTCCCTCCAAGGCTCCAACCCAAATAAATGAACACCGTTGTTTTACAAACCAAACCATACAAACATGTTAAAGCCCACTGTAAATGATGGTTGGCTGTACTGTTGGTCATCTTACCCTAATTTCGCGAAACTAAAAAAAATCCACATAATACCATTAGCATCAGGCCCATTTTTTAGCCAGTTAAAAGCTTAATTTGCTCTCAAATAAAGTCTCACTCCTAACACGCTCTGCTTCCTTTCATTTTTTTCTCTCATAAACTAAAGCAAATTCTCGCTAAAACACATCAGAAGAGAGAGATGTTGACCAAAATTGTTATGGCATTATGTAATTGCAAAATATTTTATTTTACTAGATATTTTAGGAATTGCAGCACGAAAGCATTCAGAATAGTGAAAAAAAATCATGTAGCTAACACCAAGTTTATCAGGAATAAAGCTTATAGATCATTTATACACTTGTTTTGCTAGGTATAGTTCTTCACATAAGTTTTACAAATTAAATTGAGCAAACACTAAGGTGGTGTTGTACACAAACTATTTTTTTTTTTTTTTAATAAGTAATCAGAAAATTTTATTAATCAAAGAAAAATACACAGGAAATGTATTATCAGTTTAAACAAGAAAGAAAAGATATGAAGTTAGGCAACCCCTCTATAGGATTGCTAGTTGCGACATTAAACCAAGTATACAAAGTAAGATAAAATAATTCTCTAAATTGTTCTGTGGTCCGTATTTAGTTTTCAAAGCATCGGTAGTTCCTTTCCCTCCACACACACCATACAATGCATCCCGGAGTTGTACATAAACTATTAAAGGGTTACTTTCTTCAAAATGCTAAAACATTTTATATGCGTGCAGGGGTAACTGGCTGTTTGACCTACAATGACCATAATGAAACATCCAGACTTTCTGAAACTGTTTACAAATAAGATTAAATCTCACATGATGGAATATTCAAGAGAATAAACTGTCTTAATAACAGAATCTCTAATCATATCAACCAAATATTAAAATGATTATTAGAACATCAAATTTTAAAGAAAAAGACTTCACATACACCATCAATGTCAAATGTGGCAAAAATTCTTCTGAGAAATTCCACAGCTCCGTTAGTCAGTTCCGTGCTCTACAGAAATGACAATAAAGATTTAGAAATTAAAAGAAAAGCTAAAGATGTCATGATAAAAAATACTCTCAAAGATTTGACAGTAGTGCTGATAGAAGTAGAACGCTAAAGGACTGTCATGATGCATCTAAAACATGAATTACTAGAATATCATAGAGATCATCATGAAGACAACCTTCTTTTTGTGATGTTCTAGAAAGATCTATATGGATCTCAGTCCATCTAGCATCAGGTAGACGATGAATAGATTAAAATCCAGAAAATAAAAAAACATTCATCATTGGCAGTGGGCAGCAACTTTATATACAATTTGGTAGTTGAAGACAACAAACATAACCATTATCAAAGTTAGCAAGTAACAGATGAAGATTTTTATGATGCATCAAATTTTACATCTGAAATTGGCATCAACTGAGTGAAATCAAAAGAATTATGACAGTTTCTGAATGGTATTAAAAAGGGGCACACAAAAGCAACATTGGCATACAACTTGAAAAAATTAGATGAGAATAAGCAGAATGGATTAAAATAAATAGGAAAACATTTTCTATATATGATATATTCAGATTATCCACACTAATAGTTAAGCTCATCCAAAGGGTAACTTGCCTGGTCAGGATATCTCTTTATTGGTGGTGGCAGTTGATCATCACGGAGTCTGATTTCATTGTTATACCCAAATTTCCGTAAGACTGTCCATGTTGTCTCTAAACGCCCCTTCTCAATAAAAAGTGCATGGAGAAAGAGGAATCCCGTCAATGTAAGACCACGATCATCAACACCTTCCCTCAATTTTTCTTGCACAACCCTCTTAACAATTGCTATTTCAGATGGTTGTAGTGGAGCATTGAAACATTTTACCTGCACTTAATCATTTCAGTGTCCAGCAATAGAGAAGGCTCATGCAAATTGGTAATCTTCGGGAAACATACATTTAGATGTAGATGTTAAGTGTCATAACATACACGTAAATGAAGATATGAAGAGTCATATTTTAACAAAATCATAACGAAATGACCTGAAACTCATTCAACTCTGCATCAGAGAGAGCACCATCTCTGTCATGGTCACAAAGAATAAATATCCTTTTCAAAGCCCTCACACATCGTGGCCTCAAAACTTGTTGTTCCTGATCAAACAATGGAGCAGTCGGATGAAGCACAGCTTTTTGTGCATAGTAGAAAACCTCAGGAACCTGCAAACAGGAAATCACCAACCATTACACTAGTTAGCCTTGATAGGGAGCTTCAGAAATAATGAATGTTTAGAAGAATTATGATTTTGCATATTGAGCTATCAAACGTATCATATATAATTCAAGCCAGTCTCTCAGCCTATTTCAGATTGGCAAAATTTCCTAGAATGATCCATTTGAAAGTGGTCGAAAGCAAAAAGACGAAAATAATTTGCTAGTATATTGCACTTGAAGATACAAAATACATCCAACAAATATAAGATGCCGACATTGCAACTTTAAATAAAATTGGCTTTGTATCACTGGCCATAGATTACTGGGGTGAATTAGATTTTACCTGAATATGGTTTAGTGCAGAACATTCAATACAAGTTTCAATCTCACGAAACTGTTGCATTATTGGTGACATAACCTGCTCCAAACTAACAGAATGTTGATCATCCCTCTTATCTAGCATGCAACCCACCACAATAACAGGCACGTTAACCTGCCCAAACATATATTAAGTGCACTAGTTAAAGGGATGAAAAGAAGTGTAGAATAAACTAAAGTTTCATAATAATTATCGAGATTGTTGACTTTGGAAACTAGAGGTAATTCTGTGCTCTAAAATAACAATTAGGTCAGAAGTAACATGACTTCAATCTAATTAACAAGTAATGGGAATACCTCTAATCTTCGAAGTTCAGGAAGCCAGAAAGTACTCAGCCGATCAAGAGTTTCAAGCCTATGACACGCATAAGTGAGAACAATCGCATCGGCTCCCATTATCTCTTCAACGAGTCTACCTCTATTCTCAGGGCTGCTTCCCATAAATAGCCAACAAAAAAATGGTAAGTTTCAACTCAAAAGAAGTACAATGAAACAGACATGCAGTAACAAGCATCCAAAGAGAAGCAACAGTTAACATATACAAATATCATGAAATTGCAATTGCAAATGAACATTAAACATTCAGTTACCTTATTATAGGGGGAAAACCTTATTATGGAATAAATTAAACTCAATATATCAGGGAGCACATAGAAGAAACTAGTTGCACACTTGTTTCATCCAAATCAGATCCATGAGATTATGGACACATTTACAAAATCAGAAGAAGCATATACAACGTATTGAGGTGTGTAGTCATATGCTTTGACAAAACTCTTTAATCCTACAAAACGAGTTCCATATTAATGCAAAACACATAAGCATGTGCAAGGGCATGCACATATTACTTGTAGACTCAAATTATAAGTATAATTGTATTTTCCCCATAGTAGGGATCCCTGTTTTGTGAATACGCAGTAACTTACACGTGTTAAATTTGATTTGAGATATCACAAATACATATTATAAAATTTCTGAAATATAGGGATCTTGGAAGGATAATGATGAGCTTAAATGCAAATTGGATAAAAAGTACTATCTAGTCTCAAATGTGCAATGTTGCAAAGACACTTCAACCAAGGCGGCGCGTCCATGTCAAACACGAGTCGGATATCAACGCTCCTCGGACACTCTGTCCTGGTCATTTTTCTTTTTTCATAGAAATATTATAAATTTCCAACTCAAAGTTATTATTAAGCCCTTATTTGGTCTCCATTATTTTCAAAATACATTTTTATGTCTCTTATTTTCAACCACACATTCTTCAATAAAATAATATTAAACACGTAAACTCAAAATATTTTCCTATTTTTTAACCACACATTCTCCATCAAAATATTATTTCAAAATGTATTTTGGGCAAAAAAATAGGACTCAACAGGCTCTAAATAATAAATAGCTAGATTTCAATAAGAAAAATCAATAACAAGTATTAAACTAAATTTATACTATATAAATGAAATATTTTAAATAATTTAATCAATATGTGGTGTCAATACATATTTTAAAAAATTGCATGTCAACGTGTTCGACACGTGTCAACGCACATGTCCATATCGGTTCGTCATATCAAATGTGATATATTGCGCGGACATGACATGATACAGGAATAGGACACGTCAGGGCACGTTAATTTAAATTCTTGACAATTGTAAATTTATATGTTATATCTTTATTTTCATACTTCTTTTCCTTTTTTGGAAAAATCAATACTTTTTTAGTTTTGATTTTTATTCATGAAATTCTTTACTTAAAACAATATATCACTAATGCAAGGGAAGAAAAATGCAAATAGTACATGTCTTTGAGTGTCCAAGGAGTATTGTTGACAGATACGAGTACGACACACTTTGGACACGAACCTGGCTTCATAGCACATTATAAGAAATTATGTTTATTAGATATTTCTCTCGTAAAAAAAAGCACAAATAGTGTTTCAGTCCACATGTAATGATTGTTCCCATTCCATGAAAAGTGAATCTTGACATACCATACACAAGAGAGCATGATTTCACTTTGTTGCAAGCAGCTGAGCTCATTTGACTCCTTTCTCAAAAACCATGACATATACATAATCCATATTGCGATAATAAAACTCTAGTCAAGAGCATTCACACATAAGAATAAACACGCACAAACAAACATATATTTACATAAGAGAAAAATAAAGAGAGGACGCGGACCTCGAGGAAGTGTCAATTACTGTAACAGGGACAGGATCAGGATAAATGTCTTCGGGGAGCCTAGTGGGCGGTAGCAGTGGAGGGACATTGTTCGGATAATTATCAGTGGCGGCCGTAACTATCAAGCTCGATTTCCCGGTCTTGGCATCTCCGGCGACAACGATTCTCACGCCGGCAACATTCCCGGTAGCACCAGAAGCTGAAGCACCTCCCACCATGTACTCACTATTCAAAAACGAATTTACATTAGAATTATGCGTGAATGATTGAGATTAATTGATAGCTAAAACCCTCGATTAAAGTAAAACAACCAAATAATAACAAACTAATAATCAAAAGATATGCATATGGATTACCTTGTAGATGGTGACAGGGGGAGCACAAAATGAGAAATTCTACGGTGCTTAGGAAGGTTGTACTTCGAGAAGAAGATTTTAGAGGGGTTTTTTCATCCATTACAGTAGTATTTTATGGAGATTTTTGTTCAAGGGTAAAAGTGTAATTGCAAAGCACCGCTGATGTGGGCTGCACCTGCACTGCACGGCTCATTTTTAGAAGAGAATAATATTGTGTCATTTTCAAAATATATTTTTGGGAAATTTGGCCAAATAATCCACCTCAACAATGATTTTGGAGAAATGGCATTTGACAAACATTGAAATAGAATAAAAAAGATTTAAAATATTTTAATGATAAAATGACAAAGTTGTTCTTCAATTTATATCAAATTATTCACCAAACTTCTTTCATTTCACCACCTTCCTTCTTCTTCATTTTGGATATTTTTGCCCATTTTCAGCAGCCACATATGGAGCCCAATTCCACCACTTTTCGGCCACCCAAACCATCGAACTCCACCACCCCCAACCTCGTCTCACTCCCATCTACAACTTCCAATCAACAATTATCCATGAAACCACCACAATCAGCAACAAACCAGCCTAAAAAACTAGTTCTCGCGCACCTTCCTTCTGCCGGAAAACCTACCTTCGACGACACTCATTGTCGTGCACCACCACCAGTGGATAGCACTCACCCAGACGACGAACACCATGACTTAACATCGACCAATAATGCACCAATTTGATCTGCTATTGCTGAAAAAGATCCGCAATCACAATGTAAAACGACACTACAGTCGTTATCTGCTGTAATTTATTTTTTCAGTGAAATGACCTCTAATAATGGACTTACAAACATGTATAACACAAAAAGATTGACAACTACAAAGAACGATTGAAATTACATAACTTTTATATTTATCGAGATAATGAAAGAACAAGTCGTTTTATTCGTATGTGTCGATTAAGTTAATGAACATACATTTCAACATTATACGTGTCATATGCATATTACAATATAAAGAAGTTTCACTTATTATTTGCATGGGACGAATGGGCCGTGATTACTTATACTCGTATTTAGATATGTAACATAACAAGTGTCGTTTTTATGTCCAGTAACGACACGGTGTCGTTCCGAAATTTTCAATAAACAATATTTTAATGGACTCCCTAAAATATGTAACATAGAAAGTTATAAAAATATCTAAGATGACTGTACAAATAACATTACAACAATACACAAGTATCGTTGTGGTAGAAAAGAAGCAAAAAATATTAGAGAAATCAACAAAAGATATTTGCGAAAATATGGGGGGTGGGCCCCCCTCCCGGGGGTTTGCCCCCGAATTTTTTTTAACTAAGAACATTGAAAATAATAATTTTGAGTACCAAAATAGAATAGTTAGATTGACTATCCAAAAAGACAATCAGTTTGTCGACCTTTTTAAGTTAGGGGGTCCAATGTTTGACGTCGCTCCGCTGGAAAAGTAGCGAAATATTGGAGAAATCAATAGAACGACAAAAGTATCGTTACTGCTTAATTTAAATATTCTTATGCTATCACTCCCAGGTTGAACATCTATCAGAATGGCACAAGTATCGTTATGTTGTGCAAATAAGTCCATGAAAACGGCACAAGTGTCGTTACTATCAAGAAAATGACACTTGTGTCGTTCTGCCTCGGAAGATAACATTTAGTAGAATGGTATGAGTATCGTTATGAAAAGAAAAACAATGTTCTGTCAATAAACACGAGTACGAGCGGCCACGACCCCTCCAAATTTCGATAAAAGATAATTCAAATTTATTTACTTTGCAAAATGGACATGCCATACAGAAAATTTGTGAGTTACACTCATCAATTATATTTTCTAACGAATAAATACAATGACTTGGGATTTCATCAACAAGATATCATATAATTTATGTCAATTCTATAGTTATTTTTCACATGATCGATATTTTCGACTTCCTTAATTCATGAGGTACAATGCTTGAGGTCGTAGCGGCCGAAATAAATCAAAATATTGCAAAAATTATCAGAACGACACATGTGCCGTTAAACGATACTTGTGTAGTTCGTCAATAAACAAGTATCTAAAACAGCTTATCGACATTTCTGACTTCCTCAAGTCATGTGGTACAATGCTTAAGGTCGTTGAGGCGGAAATGAAGGAAAATATTGGAGAAATCATCAGAACAGCACATGTGCCGGTACACGACACTTGTGTCGTTCTGTCAATAAACACGAGTACGAGCGGCCACGACCCATCCGAATCTTGATAAAAGATAATTCGAACTTATTTACGTTACAAGATAGACATACCATTCAGAAAATTTAAGAGTTACACTCATCGACTATATTTTCTAACGAATAAATACAATGACTTGTGATTTCACCAACAAAATATCTTACAATCTACGTCAATTCTATCGTTATATTTCACATGATCGACATTTTCGACTTCCTTCATTTATGGGGTACAATGCTTGAGATCGTAGTGATAGAAATAAATTAAAATATTGCAGAAATTATCAGAACGACACATGTGTCGTTAAACGACGCATGTGTCGTTCTGTCAATAAACAAGTATCTAAAATAGCTAATTAAGATTTCTGACTTTCTTACAATGACTTGTGATTTCACCAACAAAATATCTTACAATCTACGTCAATTCTATCGTTATTTTTCACATGATCGACATTTTCGACTTCCTTCATTTATGGGGTACAATGCTTGAGATCGTAGTGATAGAAATAAATTAAAATATTGCAGAAATTATCAGAACGACACATGTGTCGTTAAACGACGCATGTGTCGTTCTGTCAATAAACAAGTATCTAAAATAGCTAATTAAGATTTCTGACTTTCTTACAATGACTTGTGATTTCACCAACAAAATATCTTACAATCTACGTCAATTCTATCGTTATTTTTCACATGATCGACATTTTCGACTTCCTTCATTTATGGGGTACAATGCTTGAGATCGTAGTGATAGAAATAAATTAAAATATTGCAGAAATTATCAGAACGACACATGTGTCGTTAAACGACGCATGTGTCGTTCTGTCAATAAACAAGTATCTAAAATAGCTAATTAAGATTTCTGACTTTCTTACAATGACTTGTGATTTCACCAACAAAATATCTTACAATCTACGTCAATTCTATCGTTATTTTTCACATGATCGACATTTTCGACTTCCTTCATTTATGGGGTACAATGCTTGAGGTCGTAGTGATAGAAATAAATTAAAATATTGCGGAAATTATCAGAACGACACATGTGTCGTTAAGGACACTTGTGTCGTTCTATCAATAAACAAGTATCTAAAATAGCTAATCAAGATTTCTGACTTTCTTAAGTCATTGGGTATAGTGCTTAAGGTCGTTAAGGCGAAAATGAAGCAAAATATTGGAGAAATCATCAGAACGGCAAATGTGCCGGTACACGACACTTGTGTCATTCTGTCAATAAACACGAGTACGAGCGGCCACGACCCTTCCGAATCTCGATAAAAGATAATTCGAACTTATTTACATTGCAAGATAGACATGCCGTGCAAAAATTTTGAGAGTTACAGTTATCAATTATATTTTCTGACGAATCAATACAATGACTTGTAATTTGACCAACAAGATATCATATAATCTACGTCAATTCTATCCTTATTTTTCACATGATCGACATTTTCGACTTCCTTAATTCATGTAGAGGTGTCAGACGGACGGGCCGGCCATACCCGTGAAAATCGGCTCGGATCGACCCCGGGATCGCGGGCCGACCAGTGACTCGAGCGGGCGGTTCACTAGTCAAGGAGGTGTGATTTGTGGGCTTCGCTGGTTGTACCTTCACGAGCCGCGGTTAAGAAAAAAAAATAATTTAAATTTGAAATATATAATTTTTGAACAAATATATAAAAGTAAATAATTGAAATTTGAAGATACAAATATTAAAATATATAATTTTTGAACAATTAAATTATAGTAAATACTTAAGTAAGTGCCAACCTAGTTGGAATGTACTTAAATTATAATAAAACTAGGTGTCAACCTAGATGGGATGTACTCATACTATAAATATTTGATAATAGTAATTAGAAATGCATTTAATTGTTATTTGTTTAAATTAAATTTAACTTTACAAAGTTATAAATAATTCATGTAATATTAAATTTGAATTTTACGTAAACATTTCTTTGTATAAATATGAATTTGTCAATTTGTTCAATTCTTAGTTTACATTTAACAAAAAAAATATTTTTTACTATAAATATGAAAAATTCTATATTTTTATAATTTTATTTATACAATAATACGGGTCAAATCGAAACAAATCGTGACCCATGCAACCCGTGACCCGCATGGGCTCGACCCGGATGGGTCAGCGGGTGGGCCTAAGTTGTATTCCGAAATTTGTAAGTCGACTGGAACTCGTAGCGAGTGGACTTTTTTTCACGCGGGTCGTTACCGGGCTCATATGTTGGGGGGCCGACCAGGCTCGGACCACCCGGAATGACACTTCTAAATTCATGGGGTACAATGCTTGAGGTCGTAGTGGCCGAAATAAATCAAAATATTGCAGAAATCATCAGAACGACACATGTGCCGTTAAACGACACTTGTGTCGTTCTGTTAATAAATAAGTATCTAATTGATATTTCTGACTTTCTCAAATCATTGGGTACGATGCTTAAGGTCGTTAAGGCAGAAATGAAGGAAAATATTGGGGAAATCATCAGAACGGCACATGTGTCGGCACACAACACTTGTGTCGTTCTGTCAATATACACGAGTACGAGCGGCCACGATCCCTCCGAATCTCTATAAAAGATAATTCGAACTTATTTACGTTGCAAGATAGACATGCCGTACAGAAAGTTTGAGAGTTACACTCATTAATTATATTTTCTAACGAATCAATACAATGACTTGTGAGTTCACCAACAAGATATCATATAATCTATGTCAATTCTATCGTTATTTTTCACATGATCGACATTTCTGACTTCCTTAATTCATGGGGTACAATGCTTGAGATTGTAACGGTCGAAATAAATCAAAATATTGCAAAAATTATCATAACGACACATGTGTCGTTAAACGACACTTGTGTCGTTCTGTCAATAAACAAGTATCTAAAACAATTTATCGACATTTCTGACTTCCTCAAGTCATGGGGTACAATGCTTAAGGTTATTGAGACGAAAATGAAGGAAAATATTGGAGAAATCATCAGAACGGCACATATGCCGGTACACAACATTCGTGGCGTTTTGTCAATAAATACGAGTACGAGCAACGACGACCCCTCCGAATCTCGATAATCGATAATTCGAATTTATTTAAGTTGCATGATGGACATGCCGTGTAGAAAATTTGAGAGTTACACTCATTAATTATATTTTCTAACGAATCAATACAATGATTTTGTTGAAAAAAAATTGAGAGTTGCACTCATTAATTATATTTTGTTGAAAAAAAATTAAATATAGGTAAAAATTTCAGAACGACACAAGTGTCGTTACTGGACTTGAAAACGGCACATGTTCTGTTGCATGTGTAAACACGAATGTAAGCAGCCGCGACCTATTCGTGCCTTGAAAAATAATAGGTTGAGCTTATTTACATTGTAATATGCACATAACATGTACAAAAGTTAAGAGATATGCCCATTAATTTAATCGACACATGTGAGTGGAACGACTTGTGGTTTCACCATCTCGATAATATAAAAGCAATGTCATTTCAACATTTTTTTGTGACATGGTCAATTTTTCTATGTTATTTTCGTTAGGAGTCCATTATTAGAGGTCGTTTCATTGAAAAAAATCAAATCACAGTAGATAACGACTGTAGTGTCGTTTTACCTTCCAATAGTTGCAAACAACATAAAAAACACACTAAGTACAAAAACAACACCAACTTAAATTCTATTTAATACTATATTAATTAATAAATGTACAATTTATATAAGATTTCTAAAATTATATTTCTTTTTTTTTTCAAATGTAAATTCTTCTTTTTTCAAATGTAAATGAAATTTAATATAGTTGATAAATATTCATAAGATATCCAAATATGTGAAGAATACAATGAAGAATAGGATTTTAGAGCAGCAAGAATAATTGAAGAGAAAAAAACGAGTTATTGTGATTTTGGGGGTCAAAACGTGAATGAGGGGATTTAATTGGATTGATAAGGGTGTTATGGTCTTTTTCAATGGTGAGGGTATTTATGACATTTGATATTGTTTATTTATTGTTTTTTATAATTGAAGACTATTTGGTCAAGAAACATTGAGATAGAGTTTTTTAACCAAAATCATTGTTTGACTAGGTCTTTTAACAAAGGCTCCCTATATTTTTTTTAATCATACATTTTTTAATAAAATAATATTACATATAAATTTAAAATTTTTCCTTATTTTTCAATTACACATTTTCCATCAATCTACTATTTCAAAATGTGTTCTTAAAAAAAAAAAAGGGCTCAAACAAGCTCCTAAATGTACATTCTCCTTGACATCAGTATTGATATCCTGAAAGAAATTTGGACAATGATATGTTGGTTATGATCAAAATCAATGGTGCAAATGTAACCATGTGGAAGAGTGTAAACCTTTGATGTTAAGCACAATATAGATGTAGTATGATTGCATTTTTTATTTGGAATTGGGGGTTTTATATTGGAGAAAAGTTGTATGCTTTGACTTATTGTAATTTGTTTAAGTGTTCATAAATATCATGATAAAACAAAAAAAAAAAAATAATAATAATAATAAATTTAGCCCTATTTAGTGTAGATTAAAATTAATATTTAGTATATTTTGATAAAAATTTAAGATATATCGTTAAAATTAATTATTGAATTTGATTTAAGATTTTTATCTATATCAAACAAGGGCTTAATTAAACTATTGTTAATCCATATATTTCATAATTCTCACGCGTACGATTCACTTTTCCATCATTCATTTACTCCAATTTATGAACACATTGTCATACATAACAGTGGATATAGAACTATTATGAAAGTCCCATTTTTTAGGTAGAATGTATTTTCAAATAGTAGATTGATGGAGAATGTGTGTTGAAAATGAAGAAAAAGTTTTTGAACAGCGTGTAATATTATTTTATTAAAAAATGTATTGTTGAAAAGAAAAGAGAAAAAAATGTATTTTGAAAAAAAATGGAGATTAAACAATATTTAAATGATAACTCACACATGTCCTTTTGTCAAATTTAATTTTTAGGAAAAAGATGAATGGCAAGGATAGTGGAGCGTCACATGGGCTCTGGTCACGTAACATTGTTCTAATTTTTATTCTTTTTCATCTTACTCTTTAATTTTAACTAAGTTTTTTTTTTATTATTATGTAAGTGTTATTTGGACATGAATTTTGAAACTTAAGTTAAATACGGCTTATCATCCTCAATCTAATGGACATTTCGACAGAACTATAATTTTGGAAGACATACTATAACGATTCGAGCCTCGTGCCCAAGTCGTTACTTGTTCAATTGATAGCGAGATTCAAATTAAATCTCTTATGAGGCAGATAATATGGTTTCAAATCTTAGGGGTGATAGGAAGTTGTGAAGAGGGTAAGATGGGTGATACCCTCCTAAGGCAAACGGTATGTATGATATAATAGTTTGCGCACGCACCAGATCATTAAAAAAATGTAGTTTTTTAATAATGATTCGACTTTGTGCCCAAATTGTTAATTTACGTATTGTATGTTATCGGAGAGCTTAAATCGATCTTACTCCTCATGAATTTTTATCGCATTCTCCGAGATTCGAATCTAAGAGATTTACTTTATGAGATACTTAAATTGAATCCTAGTATCAATTGAGTTCGAATCCTGAGAAACACGATAGAGAGTCATGAGAGAGTAAGAGGATAGATGTCCTCTCAAAACGAATAATACGCATGATATAACGGTTTGGACACGAAGCTCGAGATGTTACACATACTATGTACATCTATCTTGGATTTAGGTGGAAGGTGGAAAATCTTATTTACCATTGGTGTAGTTAGCCTATAACAACACCTTTCGGGCAACCATGGGGATGACACCTTATGAAGCTCTTTTTGGGTCTAAAAATTGTTGAATGAACAGTTTAGACTATTGATAAGATAAGAACCAAAATAAAGACAACATAAGATTGACACAAGATTTACGCCGATCATAGATGGAAGGATTTGGAAATCAAAGTTGGTGACAAAGTTTTTCTAAATGTAGCATTGATAAAGTGCATGCTTCCTTTTGTCAAGAAAGTAAAGTTGAAACTTCGGTTCATCTAACCATTTGAAATACTCGAGATGATTGAAAGCGTAGCACATCATCTCGCTATTACCACCCTAGCTCTCGAAGATCTCAAAAGTCGTCTTGTTCATGATGTAGCTTTTGTGTTTAACCTAGGTAATGCCTTGTAACTGAACTTTGGATTCGGGTTTCATTGACAATTACTTACTTTAAAGACCTTGCTCGACCTTAATGGTATATTTGACAAAAATGATACAATAATATTTGGACAATGTTAAAAAAGAACAAAAAATCAAATCTTGTTGATTTTTTCATTAGTCCCATTAATATTAGATACAATATACTATAAGTGTAAAATTACTAACTAAGATGACTATCTCGTACGTTATTCTTATTCACACCCTCACTACATTTACTGCACATATTTTCTTTCTACACAAGAAATGATGGGTGCATTAATTTCCACCTTTGTGATTATATGCTTTTTGGTAAGCGCATAATATTTTTTATAAAATTTCTAAAATTAAGGAAAAAAAAACATAAATCACACATTTGTAAATTGGTTTTGTGTATAAATATATTGTCCAAAAACCTTTGATAAGGTAGCAAACTAACCATGAAACTTAAAATGTCCTACAAACCACCTTCTTCAACAACAAAAGTCTTCAATGTCTTTCTCATCTTATTCTCTCTAACCCTCATTTTTCTCACCATAATATACCATGAAAAACTTCAAGAGACTTGTATTACTAGACTCCAAATCGAATCTCAACAAACGACGTCCTTTCCTCAACATATCACGAAGCCTAGATGGTACGAATTTGTGGCAAGAAAGTTAAACAACCGAAGGATGAAAATCGGTCTAATTCATACAAACGACGCTGTCAACGAAAGCAAGATAGACGGAGATGCAGAGATGGTAGACATACGTTTTAAACGTGTTGCAAAGAATGTACAATGGAGTGACTTGTTTCCACTTTGGATTGAAGAAAGTTTACCATGGGATTCACAACCTTGCCCGGAAATCCCAATGCCGAGGTTTGACGAATACGATGATTTAGACGTGATTGTTGCTAGGGATCCCTGTGGGTCAGGAGTGGAGAACAGAACTTCTGAGGATGTTTTTAGGTTACAAATTAACCTAGTTGTTGCTGACCTTTTGGTGAGAAATGGCTTAAAGAATCTTGAAAGTGATCGACCAGTTTATGTTGTGTTCATTGGCAGTTGCAGTCCAATGAGGGAATTGTTCAGATGTGATGATCTATTGTGGCATGAAGAGAACTTTTGGATTTACCAGCCTGATTTGAGAAGGTTGAAACAAAAACTGCTCATGCCCGTGGGATCATGCCAGCTTGCCTCACCATTTGCTAAACCAGGTTAATACCTTTATGCTTTCATTTTAATTTCACTGATTTGGATAAGCTTAAAATAATTCAAACTTATTATAAGTAAATTTTTTATTTTTAAACATGTTTTTCTACTTATAAAAAAGTAAGGGTCTGTTCTCTTTACCATTTTCAAACTGTTTTCTGCTTTCGATTTTCCAAAACAGCGACTATTTTCAAAAACGTATTTTTGAAAACAAGTTAAAAATTTACAAAGTCAAGCCAAAATTTTCAAAACGTATTTTGGGTGTTTTCAAAACAATTTTTTAAAAATGCCAAAAAGAACATATTTTCAACAATCTCAAAATATAAGATCTAAAATAAATCCAAAACTCAAAATACAAAACTGAAATACAAAGAAAACAACCCCTAAGTAATTTCTTGAGAATGGCCTGAGTTACTTTTTTTTTTTTCGTACTTTAACCAACAAATAAGACTATTTACTTCTTACCGAGTAAACTTTTTAAGCTTAGCCAAATATGCATAATTGATTTTTCTCTCTCATTGTAACGAAGGTTTCTGGTTGATGAAATCGTAAATTATTGATAAATGCACATAATTAAATTTCCCATGTTATATACTTAGGGTCGAATTAATACCATATCACTTATACCCTACTGGAATTAAGTCATATATAAATAAATACTGATTTTCTGTTTTCTATAAAGCTTAATTTTGTTACTTATAAGTAAAAATTTTGATCTTAGCCAAACATGCAATAAGCATTCATTGAATTTTTTATTGATGAAATGGTAAATTTATTGATAAATGCAGAAAATGCCATTTCCCACATGATATGTTAAAGAGTAAAGATACTTTTCTAATTTTGTATGTTCATTATTTTTTCTGTGATTGCTAAAGGGTTTTTTTCTTTCCTTTTGATTCATGAAATTATAAATTCATGATAAATGCAGAACCTTCCATTTCCCACATGATATGTTTAGGGTGTGAATTGACATTTTTTTACAGTATAATTTATTACTGCTCGAATTAATAGTAAAGATGCTTTTCTACATTTGGTCGGTATGAATTAGGATACAACTCAGTAACTTCTTTTTCCTTTTTAATATTGTCTAATACTGTTCAATCCATCGTTTCAAACAATCAGCAATTAGTGTTTAATTATATATGTCGATTTCGAGAAATATTTCCTAGCGCTTGATATACGTTAGTCTTTCTGTATAGTTGACATCAAACTTTCCAGAAGTATTACATCTAACGCACATTTGTCGAAGACAATTCTTACAAATGCATTGAAACTTTTTGCAGACTCAATCGATCAAAAAAACATTATCAAGAAGCCAAAGGAAGCTTATGTTACTGTAATCCATTCATCAGAAGACTATGTTTGTGGTGCAATAGCTTTGGCACAAAGCATAATCCAATCCAACTCAACCAGAGATCTCGTCCTGCTAGCGGATAACTCAGTATCCGCGAAATCCCTAGAAGGGCTAAGAGCAGCCGGTTGGAAGATCAAGCACATTGAACGAATCCGAAGCCCTCATGCCCAACGAGAGGCATATAACGAGTGGAATTACAGTAAGCTTCGAATATGGCAACTTACAGAGTATGATAAAGTTCTCTTTATAGACGCTGATCTTACCATTACAAGAAATATAGATGGATTCTTCGTGTACCCGCAATTATCAGCTGTTTGGAATAGCAGGCACATATTCAATTCTGGTGTGATGCTGATTGAGCCATCAGCGTGTACATTCGAAACCCTAATGGAGCACAGGTTTAAAGTAAAATCATACAATGGAGGTGATCAAGGGTTTCTTAATGAAATGTTCGTATGGTGGCATAGATGGCCTATAAAGTTAAACTTTCTTAAGGATTTCGTTCTTATTCCAGATTTGGTTCATGAAATTCCCAAAGACATTTATGCTCTACATTACTTGGGATTGAAGCCATGGATGTGCTATCAAGACTATGATTGTAATTGGGATTTCGAGGAATATAGACGACATGCTAGCGATTCAGCACATTGGAGTTGGTGGAAAGTTTACGAGGCCATGCCTAAGGAGTTAAGATCTTATTGCACGTTGAGTCGAGAAATGGAATCTAGGCTGCGTTATGCAAGGAGAGTGGCTAGGAATAGCAGTTTTCCTGATGAGCACTGGAAAATCAAGGTGCAAGATCCAAGATCGCATTTCTTATCATGATCCTTCCCATATGAGTTAGTATATGTGTTAACAATTTAGATGCTGATTCCGTATCATTTACGTGTTTATTTATTGTTTCTCCTTTTTCTATTGTAATTTTGCTAAACAAATTAGTACTACTTTGAGAATTTTTCCATATTCATACCCTGTGTAAAATATAGAACCCCAGGAACGGATTCAGGACATGATTACAAATCGGACTAATACGTAATAAAAAAAAAAATTTGAATGGATCCGTCCCTGTATAGAACTATACTATTGATGGTTAGAGTAAATGCACAATGAATTCGAAGAAATTTTCGACAAATCCTGCAAGTTATAGAAACTAAAAGAATAAAACAGTCAAATTTTAGCAATATATTCTAAAATGAATTCATTCCCTTCTTTTCCTTTTTACTTTTTTTGCGTATAGCTCTTTTTGTTTCTTTCTTTCTTTCTTTAATCGAACCTCAAATAGGTAGATTATTTATTGATACTCGAGAAAACATAAAAAACATATACTAAACTTTGAAAGGGGCCGTTTTCCGTCATCGTCATCATTCATCATGTAACAATTTTTTTTGGCTCGTGATTGGTTTCATAGTGATTGTCCTCTTCTAAGTATGCTAGCGTGTGTCCAAAACAAGTATTAGGAATATCTCATCCATCTTCAAACCCTCCATGCACATATATATGACGAAGATCATTTGCAACTCGTATAGCTCACGAGTGTAGCACGTGTTTGCATATGGTATGAACTTCAAGTATATTCTATTTTTATTCGGTAGATTAAAAAATACTTAAATTAGAATTGCAAAGGTATTTTAGTAAAATAATTGAGATACCAAACTTGTTAGGTTCCTCAATGGTAATATTAATTTACAACTTATACCATTTGTTGTGTAGAAGGCCTCAGATGGACGATGACAAGAACTTCACTAATGAGAGAGTACAAAAGGGTACTATGCATTCAATCCCGAACCCACCACAAAATACATACTAAGAGATAATATAACAAGCACAGATTACTCATACTAAAATCTTCCAAAGATATAGTCTATGACTATTTTACGAATTGGGATGGATCCAAATAACAAATGAGGACTCATATTTCTAGGAGATACATATGGGTGACTATATTTCTCTTTAATAAAGAACTTTGACTTTCGAATGAGGTTCTAGGACTCAATAATTGTCATGGATTTCATTTAATTATGGTATTTAACTGGTTCATAGGATGCCTTAATTCTCGTCATGTTTATTATATGACTCGCCTCTATTTGGCTATACGACATGAACAATGCTTTTTTCATTGTCATATCACAATTGTCAGTCTTTGTTCATACTAATTTCTGTAATCATGTCTCCAAGTTGAAGAAGGCTCTACGCAACCTTAAAAAAGGAAAAAGCACCTCACGCATGGTTCGAGTTGAAATTTTATTATTCATCTCGACTCTTTTCTGGCTCAACTTTTTTCTTCTTTTTAGTTAAAACACCATTCAAGCCTAGGCGGGACTTTTATCACTAGCGATGTCCAAATCTTGACATCTTTCTCACTCACCTTACATGTGCATCCAGTTTAGCTTATGTCACCTCAACATCATCATGCAAACACTATTATTCACAATCAATAAAACTCTCCTAGTATATCCACAAACTGAAAACTATTCACCAGTGCGCGATAATTCGGCCTTATGGTTTCTTAAAGGTACATTATGGTCTACATTAGTGAGTTAACTTATCAGCTAAATCTATAAAGTTATAAACAACGCAAATAAATTTCAGTATTTCCACAGTTCTCTCATCTCTATTTTGCTTATATCAGTTATGCCATCTAAAACAATAAATTTTAAATGTTGAAAATGACTTGTATTTATAATGTCTGTACAACAAAGTTTAGAAATATAGGGATTTACAGCAGAAAAAAAATTCTAAGTAAAATAACTGCTTATCACAACTAGTACCGGCCAAGTATGGCACTGCAATATGACTACAAGGCATTGGCATTTGGTAGTCTTCAGTAGAAGGACTATCTATCAACAACAGGACACAAAGAAAGCAAATAAGCATGCTATGATCCTTAAGGAAGATAATGTACATACGTTAAAGGCTGATGTTATTTCAAGTGGACAATATCGACTTTCTGCTATTTTCCTTGCTGCCTCTCAACGCGAGTGGACTCCATACCAATTGTTTCTTTTGTAGGGCTACAACTGATGGATTCTTGGGCTTCCATGAACATGCCTGTGAAGGAGGACTTCCCCAAAATTTATTACTTACAGGGCAAACTGGTGTTGCTTCCACCGTATAACTCGATGTTAGCCTCAACTGTTTCTGTTGTAATGCTACAACTGTTGGATGCTTGGGCTTCCATGAACCTGCCTGTGAAGGAGGATGACGACTCCTAAATTTACTATTTCTAGGGACGACTGGTGTTGCTTCCACCATATAACTTGATGTTTGCTTCAGTTGCAGTGGAGTAGACATTCTCGACTTAGTATGCCATACTCTCTGAGGATCCCAGACAAATGATTGTCGTCCCATACCACGGTTGTTGCTTAATCGAGCAGAAGAGCCTTGTAGTGGAGTTGTCATCTTTGAATTAGACTCGAGGAGAAGGGTTGCAATGGAAGCCCTTCTTTTCGGCTGAAACGCCTGACTTGTTGCTGAAGAGGGTCTTAAAGCAATGGACCCTTGTCTTGGTACAAAAATTGCTTTTGCCTTGTTTCCTAGAATTGACATTCTTGATGTATTTTCTTTGTCCTTATCCACAACTCTGAGATTAGACTGGCCCATCTTTTTGGGAGGAAAAGGAGACTGCATGGGCATAAAATTTGTAATTCTTCGAAGTGGTAACCTCAATTTTGTAGGAGCTAAAGGAGGCTTTTTCTCCGTTGCAGTCTTTTCTTCCCGGTTTACAAATGGTAATGCTGAGGACTGAGTAGAAACAGAGGCCAAAGCTCTACATTCTCGTTTTAGTCTTGTCTTTCTTTCATCTTCTAATTGATTCTCAAGATCATGAACCTGTTGGACATTTGAATTGTATCAGGATAAACTCCATAAACCAAGGTAATTTGAACTATGTCTCATATATGGTGGTGGTCAAATTCAGTCTGCCGACTATTTACTAGAAAAATTTGAGATTAGGTATTTTGTACCTTTTCTTGAAGACTCCTGCACGTGAGCTCTCTTGCAGCAAGCCTTAATTGCAAAGACTTCAAACTGTCCTGCAACTTCTTCATTTCCTTCTCTTCATGCTTTCCTTTTTCTGCCTGTTTATTCAAAAATTAAAAAGTGCACAAGTCATAGAAGTTATTATTAATATAATATACAGATGATTATTGTGGTAGGTTGCTGCTTCATACCAGCTGCTTGTACTTGAGAATCTCAGCATGATCTGTCTGTTTGCGAGCAGGCCCATGCTCAACTCCTCGTACACGACTTGCAAAATTCAACGAGCAAAGGGTTTCTCCTAAGTCGGCCAAATTTGGGCTGATCTGGACAAACATCAGTGTCTTGCAATCTCCTCCTGCATTTGTAGTTGAACTATAATTATTTATATGGAACTATGAAACTCTATAGAAAAACTTATGAACTACTATATATCGTAGTTAAATAGCCATACAATCCAAGAGCTATTGCCTTCTCAATTTGATTAACACATCATCAAGAAGGAAATTTCATATTCCCTACAGTTATAAAATTTAAGGAGCTCACCTAGAGAACTCTGCAGGATATGGGTGAGTTTTGAGTTCCTGTTCGTCCACAAAAAAAAACCAAATGATTACAAAATAGTAATGTAAGATGCTTTGGATGCAAGAGCAGACATATACACGGACACAACACAGGGAGAGGAGGGGAAGAGCAAAGTGCCTGAATGGAATGTGAGATGCTTTGGATGCAAGAGCAGAGATAACATCCCCTAATGCCGACAATGATTTATTGATAAACTGAGATTCCTTTAACCTTTCCCCTTCAACTTCAATCCTTCCTACACGCTCACTTCCTGCCAAGTCAACCAGCCATAAATGGCTCCTCGTCCTCTGCCCAGTTACTAAATTCTCTGCCACAACAGTCACTCGCAATAAACTGCAATAGAAATAATTAAATAAAATTAACAGGTAACCCCAATGTACTAAGAAACTCACTTCAGTTTGAAAATGATTAAGTGGATATGCTTTCACATCATTACTTAATCTAAAATTTGTTTCAGTTATGAAAAAGTAGATTGATTAACCAAGAAAAAGAGATATAGAAGCTACTAAAAATTACCAGTGAGAACGACTGCTGAATTCATTCGCATTGGTGGATCCAACAGATCTTGCTCGGCTCCCAGACTTGAGAAGTTCCCAAACTTCATCTGCACTGTATACACGAGCTTCAACAAGTCCAGGGACTTCCTGAGTACCCTCAAATGATTGCTTTATCTCCAACCTGCAGTTCCAGAATATAACTCTCTTTAAGTTGCACATATTGCAAATTGCAAGTAATTAAAGCCACGAATTGTATTCATTGTTTCATTTCCTAAAACTCAGTGCTTAATTTTGAATGTACCAATACCAAAGCAGGCAATCAACCCCATCAAGAATTAGAACAGAGCAATCAAAACCTGCCATAAGCTCTCAATAGAAGCATTTCTCACCTTCAAAAATAAGCAGGAAGAAAGAGAAATGGCAAATATAGATAGTGAGAGGTGAAAAAGAAACTCCACATTGAACTACAATCAGGGAATCGTTTAATCTGGCTGTATAACTGGGAATAGAAGCTTTGAACTTAATATTGAGCAGACGAATCTTTCTTTCAAGACAACAGAGCACAAACTATTATATTTCTCTTTGAGATATAGAAAACTGCTCTCTGGCACCAAAGACAATTTTTTTCTTATAAATTGCATAAGCTTCCCCCATAAAATAATTTAACGTGAATAAAAAGAAATGCAAGTTGACAAAAATTGGTGAAACTTACTTCACAGCAGGTTGGTTAGAGTTCTTAACCAGGAGATCCTTTATCTTTTCATTGTA